TGAAGACAATGAACATTATGGCCGATCTCAAAAAATCTACAAACAATACAAATTTGTGAACAGGACAAATAAACACGGAACCCCGGAAATTCCAGAGATGGGATCAGGTGCCTAGGAGGAGTAAGCATTCCCTGTTGACCGGTCACACTGTGAGCCCTATGTATTGATCAGGTAGACGGAACATTCCGTAGTCAAATTTAGTGTTAAAACAAAGGCTTAACTGTGTCTAGATACTCAGTACACCCGCAAAAACCAGCTGTATGCAGTAAATAAAAAGAAATTATCAAACCTTCATGCTGTGGCAAATATATGAAAATCCCTTTTTTTATTGGGGGGGGGGTACATAACTCACTATTGTACACATGAATTTAACTTTAGATCCCCACTCCACTTTCTCCTTCAATGAAAACTATCAGGTGCCTATAAAAAAACAATAATAAGAAGGTCTTACCAAATACTGCACGTGTCTTCCATTACATGGTTTATCAACACCCATAACCCTCCTTCCAATAATATTCATGCTTTTCAATGCAAATGCAAAATAAAAACTGACTGTTAGCACCTACAATAAATAATCCAACCAGGGCATGAAAGGGGATTACTAGTAGCTGTTCGATTCCCATTACATCTACAACCTAAAGTAATCCTTTATCTCCATTTACTATGAGACGAGAAGCATCGTTTTCTAAAATGTGTGTGTGTGTGGGGGGGGGGGGTACCGACGAGTAAAAAAAAAAGAAAAGGAAACGGAACTTATTATGTGTGGGATGAAAAAGAAATGGAGGGGGCAAATTAACAGCCTTTGAAAATTTCCTTACTAAATAAACACTAAAAGAACTTGACCCACAATATGCCTTATTTGGCCTAGTAAATATGAAAAAATTTAAGAGGGCTTCAGAATATATGTTTTTGATATATTCTCTATTTCAGGAGCATTTTACCCTTTCCTCTTATATTGTCTGTTGTAAGGCCTTACATGTACTAGTATTAGCAAGTCCTTGTTCGTGTAAAATCAATCTTACGCTGAGTATTTGCAAAATATTAATGCCTGTATATATGTTTCTCACTTCCTATCTTGACGTATAAGAGCATTACATACGCAATACTGCTCCATTTATTCACATGAAAATCATAATGTGAAAATGAAATTGAAAGTAGTGAATGTTAAGCAATACATCAATAAAACATACGAAATTTATTACATTTATAGGGAAATAGACACTGATAAGTTTTGAGAAGAAAAACAGAAACATCATTTATTTATCTCCACTTTACAACACGCCACGAATCACTGTCCTGCATACACTTATTATTTTACGGGAATAAAATATGGCCTTGCGATTGGCTGGTTCGAAAGGATAAATATCCGCGAGCTTGGGGTGCGTGCAAATCACGCGGATATATCTAGCATGCGTATTCATCAAAGATGTTTAATAGTATAGATGTAAGAATTTATCTTGATGTTACATGTACTCTCTTTGTTTATATACATTCAAAATTATAATCAAGTATAACACAATTTTCGACCTTTATTTATTTCTTGCAGTTAATATATACATGTACATGTATTTCGAACAACAAGTCGGGTAATACCTATATTTATATTTCAGTTGATATATACTCTGTTTATTCTTTGATGGAATGTGGGGAATTCTGGTGAATTCATCTAAGTCAATTGTATAGATCTTCAAACTTTAAGCAGATTTAACATTTTTTTGTTTTTAGATGATTTTCTTTTAAATATAATTCAATTATTTCCACAAAATTTTGTATTTAGGAATAACAAGTTTTGAATGAGTTCCGTATTTTACGAAACTCCTTTCAGTTTCTCTTTTACATGAACGAAAACGATGAGATGTTCAATTTATTGTTATTACAAATGTTTAGGAAATACATCCTTTTAACTTCCCTTGACTATTTTTTTTCTATGATAATTTATTTAGATATAGATTTTTTAAAAGCTCAAATATTTACTATTTCATTGATCTAAAAATACCACCACAGTTGAAGTAATTTTCCATTGAAAAGATTTTTTCAATTCTATCCAGTCAGAATTGACTGGTATATCAAATGAACACTTATATCTGCTTTTTTAAATTATGGTTCTAAATCAAATGATGTTGATTAAATAAATATCTATCTCCATTTATTCAATTTCGAGTCTTAAATTCGTATATTTCTACATTGAAATTGCAAACTTTAAGTCATTTCTATCGCTCTTGGACGTGACGTTACATTACAAAACATGTCGTTCCTATTGCATTTTTCTATCAAAACACTGCCATATTGCAATATCTATTTTTCAAGAAGTATAATATATATTGAAAAAAGGAAAACGGTTATTGAAAGCGAAGATTCTACATTATCTATGATAAACATAATATTAATTTTTGAGAAGAGACCGTTTTTGATGCTTCATGGACTTAGCTCTTGAAATGTCGCAATTATGACAGGAAGTCGCTATGAAATATTTAAATATACAATATTAAAATATTATAATTAAATATTAAAATATTAAAACGAAACATACAATATTTATTACAGAAATTGTTGCACATCCTTCTTCCCATTTACTAAACAGTTCAGTATTATATCCTCGGCACTTTAATCCCATTCTGGGAGCATATCATCTTTAATGGCCCTTCATGAATGGTCATTTTTCTATTCTCTATAAAAGAAAACTTAGGCTATAAAAGACAAATCGAAGCTTAAAGAATTGTATTTTTACAGTTTATAAATTGAACTATACTACTGTCTAAGTGAAGTTCGGTCACGTGATATGAATTTAAATAACAATTGAAAAAGAAATTATTTTCTATTTTTAGGTTAGGGGATTTTCATTTTTTGGAACAAGTATGTTTGCTTCTCAAAAAAATTATTTACCAAGGTATAAGTATTTCTAATATACTGGCGGATTTTCAAAGACATGTATTTATTTCTGTATCCAGTCTTTCGTGCCTTTTTTTATCCTCTATTTGACAATATATCCTCAAATTTCAAATCGAAAGTGGGGTGACACTGAGACAATCACTGAAACAGAGAGTGGCAAAATTTTCAGGCTTACCTGCTCAGTGCTGTGTTCTATAACTCCTATTTTAAAGATAATTTCATCCATTTTTTTCATCCTGTTCCACCGTCTTGTTTTACTATTAGTTAATTTGTGACCGATATAATATCCATGCTTCACTTCACAAATACTGAAGTACGGAAGCCGGTAGGTGCCAGGTAGAAAAAATATTTTATCTGGTGGCCGCTAGGTAAGTTTTCTGGCGGCCGCCAGAAAATTATTTAGCGGCCGCCAGATAAAATATTTTTCTACCTGGCACCTACCGGCTTCCGTATGGAAGTATTACACATACATTTATATATACTTAAAAATGTTGAGAGACCATTGTGAAGTAGACTGGGATGGAAGCTTTGTTTGTACACTGTAATACTGGATTTAAAATGTTATAACCTAACCATATAATATTGCTATGATATGTCAAAAAGTACCTGGAAATCGAACCAACATTATTTCAATTAATGTATATTTTACTTCTCAGGATTTGATATATTTTCTAGTGTAAAAAAAAAAACCTGAATCCTATTGTGTTCTCCACCCTATTGATTTGAACAATTTAGAATCTATAGTAGAATCTACACTATCACAGAAATCTTCTACTTAAGTGTCAACGTTTCTGGCCCCGTGGTTTTAGAGAGAATATTTTAATGGTCCCACTATATTTTTGCCTTTTTTCGATTATCTCCCCTTGGGAGGGGCCATGGCTCTTCATTTGAACAATTTCAACTTTGCCAACTTTGGTTAAAATTTGCCCAGTGGGTATTGAGATGTCAAAAATGTGAAAAGTTTATAGACAGACAGACGGACGGACGGAGGCCGGACAACGGGTGACCAGGAAAACTCACTTGAATTCTCAGCTCAGGTGAGCTAGAAACTTCATCATGGTTATCAGCCTCCGGGTCATAAACTTTAATGAGCTCACTTTTGATCTCAATCTCACTTTTCTATTATTAATTCCTATTGTAAAAGTGAGACTGAGATCAAAAAGTGAGATTTCTAAGTTTTATGGCCCCGGAGCCAGGATTTTTTGTTGCTGATCTTCTTCGTGCTAGAATCAAATTGATAAGAGTATTTTCATCTCCACAGGTAATTCTCATGTTGATGATCATCGTATTTTTCTTTGCCATTTGCTGGGGACCAATTCTTCTGAATAATCTTCTCGTCGCCGCAAACGTCATAAGTGAACTCAACACGGGGTTCCTGAAGCCGATGAGAATGACATTTCACCTGATGTACGTCATACGCTAACAGTTGTGTGAACCCTATTGTATACGGAATAATGTCCAAAAACTTTAAGGACCGCTTGCGGAAGACTTTTTCGAGACGGATTACGAGGAACCAGAGTTTAACAGCAAGCTCATTTCCAAGTAGAAGCTCTACCGTGAGAAATCAATACACCAATTATCAAAATTTAAAAGAGAGATCGGCACTGTAGATAAAACTGTGAGAAATCTCATAATTCCCACAAACGATGGAAATTTTATTGCTGTCATGTCAATGCGTTGATTAAATTTTGTTATAACATTGTTTTTAGACTGTTTTAAAAGTTGTAAAGAAGACAATATTTTCTACTAAATTTTTTTCTTATCGTTTTTACCTGCGATAAAAATTACAAATAAAATTTAATGGTATGGCTTTTTGTGTTTATTTTGTTCTTATGTCACCACGGAAAATGTTACTGTTCCACCTGGTTTTCTTCGCAGGAGTTTGGCGAGGATAATCGTAATATGACAGCGATAATAGTTGTGCTTGCAACATTTAAAACGGCCCCCGTTGCAATAGAAATAGAACATTTGTGCTTGCAATAGCCAAAGTTTCTAGTTTTGTTTTTGTTTAAGGAAAAGTGTCGATCAGAACAGATGAACTGCAAAACAAAGTATAGTCATGAATTAGACTTTGTTTATTACTTAAATTATTTTACAATTTTTCCAAATATTTTAAATATTTTCAAATGGAAATGGATATCCAGTCCAGAAAATGAGACACTCGAACACACACGCTGGGATACTCGCCATTACAAGTGTTGATTCCCCAAGACATGATTCCTGCCAGCTTAAAAACCCCGTCCTTCATACAGACATACGGACCACCAATGTCGCCCTGTGGATTAAGTAGAAAGTTAATTCAGTGACAAGACACACGCACAGATTAATAATTTATTTAAAACTATAACGCAATGTGCCTGAAGTTTAATGGCATCCCAGAAGAAATCTGCTGGCATGGGCAACAGATTTCATGACGTTGTATTGTGACATTTATAGTTCAGAAATTGATAGAAAAAAAAAATAATAAAAACTTACACTACAAGAAGATTTCCCCAATTCAAAGGTACAGAGGTGGGAGTCCAGAATGGTGACGCCATTTATACCGGTCCACTGGTTCACGCACTGGGTGTTCCTTATGTTTGTCACCTGGGCCTCCATCAAAGCGTCGGAATTACTGGGATCACCTAAAAGATCAGAAAAGAGTTCTAGAGGGTGCTACATGTATATCAAAGTGTAATTATATTTTCTGGAGGATATTACATCAAAGTGCAATGTGTTCTCGAGGGTATTTCTTCAGTAAATTCAGTCCAACTTTGCCTTTATTGCATTCATAAAACTCTTCAAGAAAATTTTCTCTGATGGCAAATCTGTTTAATATGCAAACAAAGAATCAATAATCCATTTAAATGAAATACGGATAAATTTGCACTATTTTATTATTTCAGTTTTAGTTTTAAATGTCAGTTTTAATTTAAAGTTTCTTACTATTGGTTATAGACTGTCAACAACGGTTTAGATGCTGCGACATGTGATTGGTCTCGACATTCACGTGACTGAGAGATTTAAATAAAAAACGTATATCCCTGGGAAAAAATCTCCTTTTGAAGTACTCTCGCGTTTCAAAGTTTCAATTCGCCTAGAATTCCTAGCAGACAGCACGCAAGTCTGCCATTAGTCGGTTCCACAATACCAGTAAGAAGTAAACATCCGACAAAAGGACTCTTAAGAAGATTTAGAAAATCAGAAAATTTGCAGAAATGCTTTTCAGATATTTTATTTAATTGGAAGAGAATAAGACAGTACCAAATTTGAAACTTTAAGATAGGTATTACACATTTTGAACTCCATTGACCTCTGCTATTGACCAATCAGAGTGAGCGAATTAAATAGATAATGCAAGACAATATTACAAGTCGGTAATAAATTCAGCATAATTTCAACTCCAAAGCTGAGACAAGCTGCAACGTAGTTATCTAATGTGCAGACATTTCGTTGGGACTAAAACTGGTGTTTTTTTCTGTTAACGATTTAGTTTCAGGTTAGATAAAACAATGTTTTTGATTGGCTCCTGCAATCTTTTATGAGACCAATCAGAGAGCGCATTTCTAACCCCGTCAAGCTCAGTCTATTCGGCCAAGGGTTTATATGGAGCGCAGTAGATCAAAAACCTTTGACCTTGGAAGATAGACGTGATTCGGAGTAATAAAAGTTTGGAAAATATGAAGATTTATTCAGTCCCCCCCCCCCCCCCCAATCATATTCCAGTGGGATGAGGCCCTCGATCGGGGTATGTATTTCTTGGCTGAATAATTCTTCATAAATTATCTCCCTCACGATCATGCAATAAAGGTACATGTATAATATTTGTTTCTGAGAATAAAGGAAAGTGACACCTATGCAGACAATTTTTTCGTGTTATTTTTTAAAAATCTACTCCACTCATTATTGAAACAAATTCCTTTAGATTTATTTTTTTTAAATAAAAGATAATACAGTATATTTTCATTCATTCTGACATTAAGCCCTCTTTTCAACTGCAAGACAACTTTTAGATAAATACCATTATGGATGGTAAATATTTGAAGTCTTACTCCCAGCTGTTTTCCCCCATCCTGTCATCCAGCAGTCTGCGATGTTAGAGAAATCCTCCGTCTTACTGGACGGTAAAGTGGCGAGCTGAATGGATCCGCCCACGAGAAATGGTGTCTGTAGCTCCACTAGGGCTATATCGTTAGGTAATCCTGGTGAACTGCCAGCAAACTGGGGATGCTAAAAAATATTTTTCGTCAACTTGTGGGATACTGAGTCTTTTTTCCTCAGCCAGGAAGGATAACAGTTACTCTTAAAATCATTATTTAATTCAAAAAGTCTCTAAAGGAAGCCTGAAATTGATATCTTTTCGTGCAACAATTTTCTTTTAATGCATTCCAATATCATAAAAGGTTTTTTGAAGTCTTAGAAAAGCATTGTAAAATGTTTTTAGAGAGATTCAATTTCTTGTAATCAAGCCTTAGATACCATCACTTATTATTGTAAGATGAAATTATGTTCTGTGATGTTTTGCAATGATAGAACGAGCTTTTTACAGCATGTATTATGTAACAATCAAAGCAAATAGAAGAACTAAAGTACCGTTTGTGTATAAAAACATGCAATTTTCTCCGAATGTCTGCATAGCTATTCTAATTTATTCTAAAATATATTTGTTGATCAATTTTAAATTAGAAAATACATATCTAGTCCTTTTATTTGTATTTCCTGAAAAAAAATTCTGAGATTTGGTAATTTTCCCTTTATATGATTAACTTCAATGATGAACTTTAAAGAGTTACCATGGGTATATACCAATTATTTTGTGAATTCAGAGATATTTTTTGTGAACATTTTTAATTACTCAACTGCTGATTTCCATAACCTGAGGATCGGACTACCTTAAATTATTATATTTTTACTTATATACAAAGAAATTAGAGAGATGAATCGCAGAAATGTCCTCACGCACAATTTACATTTTGGGCTAAAAACTGAAAGGATAGATTAGTGATGTGAGATACCAGGCTTCTTTCAACATTAAATACTTTGTAGTTTGAAAACGAACTATTCGTGCAAACACAGTCGATCACTTTTCATCAGCTTACCATGCAACTCAAGGACGGATGATTTATTTCCCTTTAAAATAAAAACTTTTATTGAATTCCCTAGTTTCCACTTTTAGAAGCATATATCGTGCTTACTCTTAAACATAAATATACATGTATATACATTGTATCCTATTATCTAATTTTACCGGCATATTCCTGCTATTTACAGATTTTTTATGATGAAGAATTCATTCATGATTCCAAGAAAATCTTGTACGAGTATTTACAGACTTGATATACAATGAATGATAGGCTTGATTACTCACCACAGTAGCTTTAGAAATCCCCGAGGTCATCCCACCTTCTGAAATTTTGGACATTCCAGCCGCTACTCTTAGAGACGACACGCTAAAAAGAGGCTGGTATAAATAAGGGGTAAATATTGTGTGACTTTGTAAATGCAAATAAATTGAAGCCACCAATTTTAAAGAAATCAGAATGATAAATACAAATAAGTTGAATTCACGGTCTTAAACACCCAGATCGAAATACATGTAGATCTATTATTTAAAAAAAAAAAACCCAGAAAGTCATATTTCGGGAGTATGAAATTACAAAGAAATGTAAGCCAATGATGACAAACATTTGGAATTAAATTGCTTCAAAACCTATGTGATCGTCTGCCTAAATTAGGCATTGAAGTATAACTTCCATAATTGTAGTTTCAAACATAATACACGATATACATGTATAAATTTCATTAATAAATAATGATATCAACGAAATAAATTGTGCATAGGTAATATTAAAAAACCCTTACCTTAGACCAGATACACACTGTGCTGCAGTGAGTACCACATTCTGCCGGATCAGGGTGCCTCCACAGATGTGTCTCCAGGAATCCCCGTAGTAGAACTGTAGAGACACCTGCCACGGCCATTCTCCAGCGTCAGCTGTTTGTCCACCCACCACACGGGAACCGGAAGTCTCCAAGAAATACTTTAAAAGATATTTTTCAAGACATGCCTTAAACTTAAGTGATTTGTTATTCAAAAGTTCAGAGAACCATTCACACCAAAATTAAAACAAGCAGTCCACGGGTAAAAAATACAAATTCCTTTCAATAAAGTCGGAGGGATCATTTAGACAATTCTTAAAACATTTTTACAACTACCTCTTCTTTGTTCGGCCTGCATTCAATGGTGGAAAGATGGACAACTGAAAATATTATTCTGATTTATGATATATATTACATGGTGCTACTACACAGAGAAAAAAATGCATTTTATCATGATTTCATGATTTTAACTTAGGAGTACTAAGCCTAAGCATGTAACTGTGCGTTTAAGAAAAGAAAAAAAAACAAAATATGAAATAAGGTATTATAATAAAACATTTACATTTTAATTATATTTGAGTACTTTATTATGGAATTGATAAGAATGATTTAAAGTATCAAACTTACAAAAAAGAAAAACGGAAGCCAAAAATATCCACATCATGGCCGGTGTGGTTCCAAACCAAACAAGGACTTCCCTCAGTTAATAAATTATTCAGTTTTGTATTAGACATATCATAAAAAGATTCTTAGTGATATTTTAAGAAAGGTAAAAGTGAGTATCCACGACGTTCAGGCGGTGTTTCTCACGCAATTCTCAACATGAACTGTGTCAAGGAGATTCAATTTAAATCGATAATTCACTTAAATGTTGTACCTATTAAGAAATAATACTGATTTAAAATGGGACACTCTAAGAAAAAAATTAAAAGTATGTTATGGTCAAGAAAATTGCATGTAAATGTAAGAAGAATAGCTTACACAAAACTTGAATTGTTGTTATTTTAATTTCGTAATAACTATGTATTTTGTGTAATTAAATCCATTTACAAAAATTTAGATTCTACCGTTGAAATACTTTTCGATTTTTAACCCTCCTCCTTCCCCCAAATAATTTATCTTTAAAAATCTCAAAATAATAAGAACTTGTCTAGTTAATTTTTAATTTTCGATATTTAAATGCTATAAATAACGAGTCGTAAATTTTTCAATACTGAAGACGCAATGTAGGAGAAATTGTCTTCAAGTACCTTAATTTATAACTTTTATTTTAAGAAATCGTGTAAATCACTAACACGATAAAGAATGCTGGGGATATATATAATCTGGTACACCGAAGCTCATCAGTATCCTCACCACACAAGACCACGCCGTTCTGAAGATGAAGGTTGCAGTGTTACTTTGCCTCTTTGGGTTGTCGGGTAATCTTATTTTTAAATCTTAGCAAAACTTTATCAAATAGCAATGTCATGTTGTAAAGCAATATAAAAACTAGAAAAAAAATCTTCATGTATTGTAACAGTCCATAGACGTCGGAAGCAAATAAAAAAAAGGGGGGGGTTAAACCAACAACAGAAAAAAAAAACGTTTGAAGGACTATAAGCCCCAATTTTCAATGCCTATATTAGGTCTATCTTGGCAAATAAAAATGGGGGTGGGGGTCCCGACGCGTATAGAGTCAGTAACAACTTTTACATTTTATTTTTTAAGATAAATTATGTAGAGTGAAACTTCACACTTATGAAGAGTTAGACTTTCCCCGGACGCAATGCTCTTGAGTAAGACTTCCCCCGGATATCATGCTCTAGAGTAAGACTTTAGTTACCTCTTGCGGAAAACTGGATCTACAGCTGGAGAACATCCAGGGAAGTCTCACTTTAGAGCCACAGTTCTCGGGGAGGGGGAACTTACTTTACTCCTAATTCCACCTCACTCTGCAGCGAGACTTCCGGGGGGAGCCTCACTAGCAAGGGGGGGGGGTGTCGCCTTACAACACAGGGACAAACTTCTCCACCAAAAATGAAGAAACTTTATGAGAGAACTCAAACTATTACAAGACAAAGAAAACATTCAAATATAAAATCATAAAAATGGATAAGACAGTTCAACTTTAAAGTAATACTTGTAATAAATTAAGAATATTTTATGATTTTATTCATATCATTGTCAAAGTTGCTGTACCAATGATCAGACAACCAGCAAGGGAGATCCTAGGGTCACTGAACCGAATTTCACACCCAATGGACGAGGTAACTTTATGATAAAAAATAGTAAATAAATTATGATATCATTTGTGATAAAACTAGCATTATTTTGCTGATTTAATCTTGATGACCATTACTACTGTCCTAAACCTAATGTAGATTAGTCTAGGGGTAAACTTGAAAAAAAAAAATTCAAAAACTAACTAACAAGCTACTAGTATTTAATAATTAATATTTAATAGCTTACTGATCTGTGGAATTCAACGGCTTTTAATACATGTACATAAACGAATCCATGGCTTAATTTGAATTCTTTACTTAACAGCAAGAAACGCGCATTGTCGGTGGTCAGACCGCCAGTACGGGGGAGTGGCCATGGCAGGTGTCTCTTCAGATCGGGACCTCTCACATCTGTGGCGGATCCTTGATTTCTGCCAACCGAGTCTTAACGGCTGCCCACTGTGTCGAAGCATACAGGTTTCATACTTCCACTCGTTTCAAAACTTATTTTCTATTCTTTCATTAGAAATCTTAACAGTATTACAACTGTCCTTTTTTCGTAATGTAGCAACAGACCGACAACATACGTAGTGGAGGCTGGTATCACACGAGTCAGTGAAAACGGAGAAAGAAGAACCGTGTCAAGAGTCAACTTGGTGAGAATAATATTCACAGTCTCAGTCATAGCCAAAAGAAATAATATTCACAGTCTCAGTAATAGCCAAAAGAAATAATATTCACAGTCTCAGTCATAGCCAAAAGAAATAATATTCACAATCTCAGTCATAGCCAAAAGAAATAATATTCACAGTCTCAGTAAAAGCCGAAAGAAGGCATTGACATCTTTATTCATGTTCAAGCACGCTAAAAATATACTGACAGCTCGCTTCAACAGAAGCTGGAAATACTTGTACACCTGTAATTTAGTTGTCAAGTTCAAATACATATAGTGCACGCATAAGCTGCATAACTGTAGCGTTAATGCTGATTTGGTTTTAATTTTTTGTCTTTGACCATAACAGATAAAAAATTACATAATGTAAAACCATAACATTACAGTTCTGCAGCTATACATGTATATATATGAAACTTCGATTTGGAAGTTTAAAAGAGTTAAAAAGTAAGCTGATGCTAGTACAACAATCTGTCCTCACATTTCAGCATCCTCAATACAGTGGATCGAGTGCCGGTTACCCGAATGACATTGCGGTTCTGGAGCTGAGTTCAGCTTTTCCTCTTGGTTCCAATATCGCCTTAGCGACCCTGCCCTCAAGCAATGAGGACTTCCTTAGCGAGCCTCAAAACTGTTGGATGACCGGCTGGGGCCGAACTAATGTCGGAAGTAAGATTTTGACTTGTATTGAATTCATTAAACTTACATTGAAACCCTTTCTAAAGGAATGTATATAAATTTTCCTTTACTGAAAATCAAAATGAAATAGCATTCAAAACGTAATAAATAAATGATAATCTGCCTTTACTTAACAATATTTATTGGTAAGACACATGTTAGAAAAGATTAAGACTTAAGAATAGACTTGAAGACTATTCCTTTAAAATTCCAGCATCTGGATCAACATCTAATTCTCTGATGGAAGCACAGATTAGAAACATCGGAAATACCGAATGTGCAAATAGATGGAGTGGAATCAACGGAGCCAGCATTTTCAATAGCCACATCTGTCTGTATGAAGAGGGGAAATCAGCTTGCAGTGTAAGTAATTAACAAATTGTGAGATATTTAAAACTAAACAGTTTATTATTTTTTTTCAAAAATCATAATTAATTTTGTACTTAATCTGCAATAGTGAAGCCAATGAGAGAAAAAAAAAATAAAGTAGAAATACTTAAGCATTAACTCTCTTTAAGATGATTTTTAAAATACTTGTGCAGGGTGACAGTGGTGGACCTTATGTGTGCGAGAAGAACGGAGAATGGAGACTTGCCGGAGTGACGTCATGGGGAATCAGCACGTGTTCGGGTAGCTATCCTAGTGTGTATACCCGGGTGTCTAGTTACCGCAGCTGGATCTCTAACTATTTGTAAACTTGTCGGAGTCACTTTGCAGACAAAATAAAAAAGCATGAAACATTTTCAGTGTTTGTTTAGACAGATGCAGGTGTACTTATACTAACACTGAGGTCTTACAGATTTATGTCATCATCGAGACTTCTAGGTGAAAACTATTTAAAATGACTGGTCTGTGTTGAACTCACAAGAACCTCAAAATATAGTTTGAATGGCACCTGTGGACACCACAAAGAGTATACTATTTTGCAATCATAGCTTGAAAAGATTACCAATGTAACTCCTAATTCTTAAAGAGAAGAAAAATACCATAATTACTGTAATAACTGTACTGCTTAGTTCTTACTTGATCATTATTAATTTCACTTACATAACATGTTCATGTAATGTCTTAATTATTCAGCAAAATTTTTTGTTGTACTGTTGCAACAATTCCGTCCACAGTTAAATTATATCATTGATGGAGACAGCAAGAATTCAGTTCACCAAGAGCCTATATGTGTATTTCCCGAGGCAAGGTCAATGCCACCCAAACTTCCATTGCGCACCTTACCTGCACTGCTTGCTTGCATCACGAGTTAACTGGTCCATCATTTTTTTGTATCAGTATATTTTATTGCAGGAGTCAGCAAGACTCCAGTTCCCCAAGAGCAACCTTCGCCTGAAGTCTTGCAGACTCTTGGCCCTGGAATGGTATACTTTAATTGTATATTTAAAAACAATGAAGCATCTATTGACTATCTAATTTTTAAATTAATGTATTTACACTACCAATCACATTGATTAGTGTGAGTTAAGCTATGCATTATTGTGATTGAGAGAACAAATCAGGAAAAACTAGCCTTCCGCTGACAACGCATTGATACTAACATACATATCAGACTTCAGAGTCGCAAGATCTATCTCTGGACCAAGGTTGATTATGGAATCTTACAGGAAAGCATGTCCTCATTCAGAGATGTCTTCACTGCCAACTGCAACAAATCTCAGTCAATAGACGATATATGGAAGTCATTCAAAGACGGATGTCTTGGTGTGATGGAAAGATGTGTACCCTCGAAGATAACTTCACAGTGTTTTAACCAGCCCTGGATTACACGTGATCTAAATCGTCTATCGAGGAGAAAAAAAAACCTACCTTCAAAAAGTACAGACAAACACATTCAACAAAACACCAAACCGCCCACAAAAACTGAAGAATGCAGTTCATGTTCAGTGTAAGGAGAGCTATAACCGGTATGTTAATGACATAGTCATGGAGAACAACATAACCAAAGCGCCTATGGAGCTTCATAAAAAAGCAAACGGACTGATGCATCAGGTGTGGCTCCACTCAAGAGGAACTACATTGTGTACAGTGACATACAGACGAAAGCCGATATCCTTACCTACCAATTTACATCTTTCTTTACGTCGGAGAATCCTGCTGAACAACTGCCAAATATGGGATCAAGCCCTCACCCAACCATACCCAGCATCACTATCTACCAACGTGGGGTTAAAAAATTAGTCCAGAGTTTGAATCCCCATAAGGCTACAGACCCAGATGAGGTATCTGCCAAACTGCTTAAGGAAACTGCAACCCAGATATCACCAGCTTAAACCCTACCTTTTCAAATATCTCTGGACTAGGGCAAGGTTCCCCAGGACCGGAAATCAGCACATATTACATCACTGATTAAGAAAGGGGACCGAAGTGAACCAGTCAACTACAGACCTGTCTCCCTTACCTCCGTTTGCAGTAAAGTCATGGAACATATCGTCCACAGCCATGTGATTGGACACCTCGATAGGAATAATATACTGACGGATTCTTAACATGGTTTCAGGAAACGTCGTTCCATAGAAACCCAGCTCATTTTATCCATCAGTGACTTAGCTAGGAGTTTGGATATAGGGGAACAAGTAGACTGTACTTTTGGATTTTTCCAAGGCCTTAGAAAAGGTTCCGCACCAACGGCTTCTGTTGAAACTTAACCATTATGGCATTAGAAACAAAACGCATGACTGGATCACAAGCTTTCTCAATCGCACTCGTGTGCTGGAACTGATGGCAAGTAATCATCTGCAACATCAGTCTCTTCAGGCGTCCCACAAGGAGCTGTCTTGGCCCATTATTGTTCATAGTCCTCATAAACGACACGCTCTCAACAGTGACATCAACAAGCAGACTTTTCGCAGACGACTGCTTTCTGTATCGAAGAATAAGTAAAAAAAGAACAAAGAAATGCTACAGAAAGACTTGAACCATCTACAGCATTAAGAGGACCGTTGGCTAATGAGGTTTAACTCGGACAAATATGAGGTAACCAATAGAAGATCTTCACTACTAGCCAGTTATTCTATCCAGGGCCAAGTCCTCAACACCGTTGACTCTGTAAAGTACCTTGGAGTGACATTACAGAATATTTTAGCTGGGATGCACATGTAGATAAAATCACAAAGAAAGCTAAATTAATTCAACCCTGGCTTTCTTCGGAAGAAACATCAGTCGATGCCCAAAAACCATCAAGGCACTAGTGAGACCAACTCGGGAGTACGCCGCTAGCGTTTGGAGCCCAGCATCTAAATACAACATCAATTAGCTTGAGGCAGTACAACGGAGAGTAGCAAGATTTGCCACTGGAAACTCCACACACAAGGACCACAATGTACCACTCTTCGTTTTCCCCTAAGCGATAAGGATTTGGAACCCGCTTCCAGGGGAGATAGTGGAGGCCAAGACACTGGACAGCTTTAAGTCCCAGCTATCCAGCTTTGTCACTCACTGAACAAAAGCATGTTTTAATCCTGTTTTTAAAGGGTTTTACTTGCAATGTGTATAGACGCTCACCCCTACACATGGAAAGTAAGTGCGAAAATACTTAACTGGTTTCAGCATAACCTGGTTAATCTGGCACTTGTTCCACTTTTATTATAATACATGTTATAGTTTTATGGGCCTTTTTACATGTTCTGTCCTCTTCTGGTTGCCTTTTGCGTGAAAGTCTCCCAGCCATTTTTCTGAATTAGGATTTTTTAACTAACATTTTCGTCATTTACAATAAATGAGAAGTGGACTTTTACTAGATGTATGGGTCACTATTGATTCCAATGAAGGTTAATGTATTATATTTACATTTGCTGTGATATTCTACTAAGCCAACAGTGAAACTGATTTGAAAGTAATTTTTGTGTATACTCACGCGTAGAAATATACACGGTGAAACTCGCGCTAAAGTGACGTCACAATGAGACTACAGAGACGTAAATAAAAATGTAACGATGTAGGGCAGCAAGAAATTCAAATATTGAGTATATTATTGGTGTCTTTAAACTTGTAAAATGTAAAAATAAAGAATGTTTTTCAGTTTAGTGTGAATTATTGGTGTGTAAATCACACAGACTTGCACGAAGGAATATTTTACATGAAGCGCGCATGAAATATGCCTACGTGACAAGTCTGTGTGATTTACACACCAATAACTCACACAAAACTGAAAATATGTCACTCGTGAAATTAGTTATATCAAGGACTTTTTGAGAGGTATATTTTAGATAAGTACTCGTATAGCATGACTCAAAATCGCAAAGAAAATTGGGGGGGGGGGGTTCAGTGTGCATCCTACCGAGATAGGGTACAATTAAGTTGACCTTTTTGCACTTAAATTGTAATCTTGTGGACAATCACTTTAATCTTTGTCATATTTTATCAGAGTTAATTTTTGCAATAAATATAATCTTATTTTACGTAAAATAGTTTGAATGATATTTATCATTGAGCAAATCATGCAAATAACTGCGCATAAATTATTGTGTGACCTTTTTGCACTAAAAAAGTATCGTATTTTGGGTATAAAATATCTAAATAGGCAATAAAATATTCTCTTGTATCAAACTTTTTATGACTTAAGTGCTGATCGGTTGGAAGTATCGTGCTTTTTAAGATAATGAAAGAAAAAGTTGGGGCCAGTGATGTAAATTTTGAGATATTGGTCAAAATTTGCGATTTTCAGGCAAAAAACGGTGTAAATTTTATCTTGACTTCTTTAATATATCTTTATTTCTTGGCAAAGTCTGTTGGGTGAATGTGTAAAATTTATTCTAAAAATATATTAAATTGAGACCTATATTTAATATTCATAGCATATTATAACGGAAAATATTCTCTATGTAAAAATATGTGGGGCTAAACTTACAAGACGTTAAATTTAACAAATGTGGAGATTTTAAGACTTTTCTATTAAATATCCTTCCACCACAAAAAATAGTCCCTCATAAATCTTGCTTCTTTATGAATTTCTGAGCAGTTTTTTCATTGAATGTTGAATAATTTGCATTGTTTAATTTAAATATGCTATAAAAATTGAATTGTAATAAATAGTTTTGAACTCAAAGGTTCTGACTGAACTTTTCTATACAGCTGACGAGTGACATACCATAAATATCGCTTATGTATTTTCGTGAGTTTTTTTGGCTGGGAGACGACTGTTGTGTAATACTTTCATAATTTTCATTTAATTCTTGTCAAGAAGTCAAAAAACTTCCACTGGTGCCTGTAAGTCTCCATGCCAATATTTTTTGTATTTAGTATAGTACACGTGATTTGCATTTTCACAATAAATCGAAAATTTTTACAACTTAACATGCTTTTTTTCTGCTATTAATTCAATGGGGAAAAACAGAACTGAAATGTCACCCTGGATTAATGGTGAGAATTTGAAAATAAATGACTTGAAGCTAAGAGGGGGATTTTATTAAGATTTAAACTTCGTGAGATCCCATATTTTCATATTCTATTTTTAGCTCTGTTGGTCAGAGACCAGAAGAGCTTATGCAATAGTAAGGTGGCCGTCATCTGTCTGTAAACAATTCTTCAAAATGCTACTCTACCTACACAGTTATACCAATATAACTTGGTGCACAAGCTTATATGTATCTTTTAAGACTTTAGTTACTGATACTTTTTGCACAATTATGTACTGGTTAAACAATAAAACACAAAACTTAAGATCACATGTATTTTCAGATAATAAAACGAAATTGACATAGTACAGTTTATCTACAGTTGTATTTTCAGAATATCCTACTGTTTAGTCGAGCATGCGTATTCCAGTAAAAAAGACTAACGTAGTTGATAGCGCTCGAGAGCTCTAGCAACAAGTACCCCTAAGCATTTCGTAATTAATAAATGAATACCCATTAATTATAATACGTGTAATAATTTAATGACATTCTTACATGTACATGTAATATGTCCACGTCTGGTTGCCTTTTTGGCTTGAAAGTTTCTCCAATCATTTTGATTGTGTTGTTGTAAAAGAATTTTAGTTTTGGTTTGAATAATTGTAGATAAAAAGATCAGCAACGATTTAAACTTACAATTGATAAATATCTCAGCTAAATCAAAACAGAGCAGGACATTTAAATATTCCCCTTTATTTCTTAGGAAAGCGATTGCCGTTAATCTATCGATTAATTTTTAACTAGTTATAAACATTCTTTAAAGCCATCCGTATGAAGTATTCTTGTAAGAAGTGGACACCTTTATCAAAGTAAGATACTGACCAATGATATGATATTTTACATACTTTCACCCATTTGATACTGGTCATCAGATTTTGGAACGCAATTTGCAATTCAAAGTGAACTGCATTTTAGAACGTTGATAAGAATACTTACTTCAGATAAAGTATAAATATACACAGCAAAATTCTTTTTTTTTCCCTTTGTTAATAAAGGGATTAAAGATTGCAACCATTGCAGAAAAAATACATATTCCGCTTACGCAGGTTACAGGTATGTATTTTTTCCTGAAATGTCTCAGCCGTACCGTTAATCCCCTCATCAACAAAATCTAACCATTAATTTTTTGAATATTATTTTTATGATTTTATTTTACACTTTACACGAGTTAGTCGTGTCCATTTTGAATATGTACAAGTGTTGTAACATTTATTGGGGGTCATCAAATGAATTGGTTCTCGATATTTAAAAAGATAAGAATTTATAACTCAATTTAAATCTCCATCATTGGTTTATAAGTTGCATTATTTGTCATTTTGATCATTGCTTTTGACTCCGACCTTTAAGGTTTTTTATTCTTGAAAAGGAAAATAAAAGTTATTACTGAATATAAAAAAAAAAATCAATCAATTAATTGTATGGATACACAAACATGCAATATATTGCTGTAACACAATACACCTACATGTACTTGTATTTTACACGTAATTAATGATCATGAGAGAGAGAAAGATAGAGGGAGAAAGAGAGAGAGAGAGAGAGGGAGAGAGAGAGATGTGGCTATTTTTCATGACCATTGAGGACCGTTAAATACTATATATGGGCTCCTTAAGATGACCATTAAGTTGTGAAACACATCATATGTTCGGGGGTAAAATAGTATATAAATGCTTGACCAGTCATTTACAGGACGACAAGGCATCTACAAGATGAAGGTACTTGTTCTCGTTGTAGTCTTAGGCCTAGTCTGTAAGTATTCAAGATCACGTTGTTCTTTTCTAAATTGTAACGTTAAGATATTTCCTATTTGAAATTAATTATAAGTGATAATTTTGCTTGCAAAGAGAGAAAATTGCACGAATTCAACTTACAGCTCAAAAATAATATTTACTATGAAAAAGAAAGAAAAATAAATAAATATCTTTTTTCCTCATATGCTTAGATATCTTTAGATAAATGAAAAGTGCTCAGAGATTTTTTTTCTATTCTAGGCGCGGCTACAAAGCCAACCATTTACCAGCCTGCAAAAGAAATACTTCGTGGCATGGCTTTGAAACCAGAAGTTAGTATATTTATGTACCTTTTCAAAATTTTGATATAAATTCAAATCATTTTTATTATTTTTTTATTTATTTTGAAATAGTCCAAACAGCATCGTTTTAAACTAACAGTATATATTCTCATCAATTCAATATTTTTTTATTCATCCCCCAAAAAGTAAAAGGAACATAATAAGTGTTCATTATTTAATTATACAGAGTATTTTAGTTTTGGATTACAACTCTAAATTCTCAATTTATCAAATTTTTCAACATTGTCATCTCCTCTTTCTCTATGAGTGTAACATATCAATAAACTCACACATGGTAGGATTTCTTTATTCATGTTTCGCTGAAGGAGTAATGGTACACATACAAATAATAAAACTTTGTGCTATTTTTCGATTGACATTGTAAACATTAATAGAATCTTCAAAGCAGTAGCAATGATATTTACATGCTCACATTTTAGTTTCCGGACGACCTCCATCGTATTGTAAACGGACAGGAGGCTTCCCCCGGGGAGTGGCCGTGGCAGGTGTCCCTCCAGTACCGTCAGTTCTCGTTCATGCAGTTCTCTCACATTTGTGGAGGATCCCTCATCAGACCAAACTGGGTTCTGACCGCTGCCCACTGTGTCGAGTATGCATGATGACTCCCATTTGTTTTGTTTTTTATTCTCATTTTTGTACGCATTATTTGCTATTGTTTTGAAAATTGATTCGAAAATAACAATTCGGTTTTTTAAAGAATGGAGTTTATTTTTTTAAATATGGAATTATCTTCTTTTGAATACCACAGTCTATATAAACAATTTTGCAATATGAGATTTCAAGTCCTAGGAATTTCCTAAAAACTTTGACTTATGCATGGTAAAAGTTCAATACAATACAAATTGTCACTGAAATTATCAAAATGAAATGAAATATGTATTCTGTACGGTACTGTTAATTACAGTGGAATGTCACGTTCAAACTTGCGCATTGAAGCTGGAATCGACAAAGTTTCTGAAAATGGTGCTACCAGATCCATCAGCAGAGTCATAATGGTACAAATTCTTCTCGCGCATGCGCAGATCACCTTATTTATTATTTGGTCGAAGGAAACATTTCTGCACCCACCGAAAGTCCTTAAATACATAGAATTATTTTCATTTTTAAGAATTTTAAATATATAAACGTAATTTTGAAAAGCCTCATTACAGCATCCCCAGTACTCTTCCTCCAGTGGGGGTTACCCTAACGACATAGCCTTGTTGGAACTCTCTTCATCCTTCACTGTTGGCGGGGATATCCAGCTTGCCAATCTACCTACAAATGCTAATGAAGATTTCACCTACATTGCTGATTGCTTTATCACAGGCTGGGGAAGAACTTCAGGAGGTATGTTGGAATGTGAATATTTGTATGCGTAATAACACTTTAACCTTTTTTTTTTAAATGACATAATCAGTCTTCCCAGTAGTCAATGGACAGATTTTCAGGATCATGGAAAGGTTTACAGATTTTAAGGAAACAAATATAATTACGATAGCTTACTGTTACTACCTTGGTTTACAATACCCTGCTTTTAAATTTCGATACTTTGGAGTAAAATGCATTTGAATAACTATGATACTTTACCATAAAATTTAATATTAATAAATGAAAATATATGTAGTATAAAAGGTTTGAATATATCAGTACAAGTAATAATTTCATTTGAAAACGGAGAAATAAGAAGTAAATGTCAATGTACGAATACTATCATTTTCATTGAAATGCTTCTATTATTTATGTAAGAACGAAGTAGTTGAAGTAATACAGTCAATATTGTAGACATTTGAAATATTGTAGTTAGGTGAAGCCAACTAAATTCTACTGTTATTTTGCTGTCATACTTTCGCTTTTTCATTCATTTAACTCAATTTTTTTAGCAACTGAAGATTTAATTTCATGTATTTGCTTATGAATGATGTCATGTCTAACCCGTTTTTTTTTTTAATTTTAGGTGGATCTGTCTCTGATATCCTTATGGAGGCCCAAATGACAAATATCGCAAATACTGAATGTGCGAACCTCTGGTCAAACGTCAATGGTGCCGCCATTTTTGACTCCCACATCTGTCCATACGAATCCAACAAATCTGCCTGCAATGTAAGTATAGAAGTTACAGCGTGATCTTGTATGCATTGGCGTCGTCATGATTATTTTTATGCATTTTAGGGAGACAGTGGTGGTCCCTATGTTTGCAAAAAGAATGGTGATTATATGTTGGCTGGAGTGACGTCGTGGGGCATTAGCACGTGCGATGGATCGTACCCGAGTGTTTACACCAGGGTGTCCAAGTATTTGGACTGGATGGCAAACTACATCTAAATCTTGTTTCTTACATTGTTGATTAAAATTTGAATTTAACTGCAAGCCTTAATTTCTCAAATTGTGTAGCTTCATACTAAACCACCGCTGAAATATGGCTGAAATTATGCGGACTCGGCGTTAAACAATGACAATCAATCAATCGATCAATCAAACTAAACCTGAACACTCTAAAAGCGTTATGATGATTTTAACATATGTCAATGATTATTAGAAAATACATTGTCGCTGGAAATGAAAAAATAAGATACATATACTTTTAACAAAAGAGAGGGTTGCAGTAAAAAATTCCTGTCATATAACTTTTGTAAAGAATTCCATATGTAAAACAAAATGTTCCCAGGTAGACTGAAGCACGAGGGGTTATCAAAAAGTTCGTGGACTGATGCGATAAAATTAATACTATGTAGTTTATGTTTACAAAATTTGTAAGGAACATTAAACAACAAAAGTTTAAGAAGTGTGGAAAAATTTTAGCTTGATGCGTTGACAATTTGCCAAATTATTATAAAATAAAAAAGGCATTATATGATCACCCGGCGCTGTCGTTCTTTAGTTTCATGACGTCCGACAACGTCATTATTTCTCAATGCCTGCTCCTTCTGTCTCAAAACACTTATCTTGATGAGATTCCCTGGAGTTTAGAAAAACCTAAAACCTGTCTTGTTTATATGACATAACAATGTCATGAACAGCTGATTTCAATGCATATAAAATTGTATATGAATCTTTACTTAGGGAAAGATCCTCGCTTGATTATGCCAGCATATTTTGCTTGTTGGAGTTCAGTATAAAACACATATGATCAACGTCACTTTTTCACGAGATTAACTTTTCACACCTTGACTACAAAACGACATTAACTGCTCATCTCTCAGAATCTCTTTCGGCATTTAATAACAAGTACTCTGGATGCATTTTATTTCTCTGTAACCAGTTTAAACTTTCCCTAAGTCTATACCAATTTTTTCAGGGGCAAAACTTTATAGAATGATGGAAAAACACTCCCCCTTTTTGACGTCATTTTCAAGCCCTTAATTGTATAGACACTCCTTATAAAATATACGATAAAATTTCATAGAACGTACAGAATGGGGTAAAAATTGCACATTTTGCAGAACAATTGTGTCCCATCACATGCCTGAATTAACGGAATTTTTGGATGTCAAGTGTACGGAAGCCGGTAGGTGCCAGGTAGAAAAATATTTTATCTGGCGGCCGCCAGATAACTTTCTGGCGGCCGCCAAATAATTATCTGGCGGCCGCCAGAAAGTTATCTGGCGGCCGCCAAATAATTTTCGGCCGCCAGATAACTTATCTGGCGGCCGCCAGATAAAATATTTTTTCTACCTGGCACCAACCGGCTTCCGTACAAGTGCTTATATCGTAAGAGTTTTTCTTAGTTACACTTAGGTTGAAAAAACGTCCTGTTCGCGGTTGCCCCGCCTGGACATGCCATCGCTTATAAAAACATTACTAATTTATTAAAAAATAAAACTTATAAATTGTGGTTTATTCTGTAGATAGAAAAGATGATGCTTACTAAATATTTTAAAATTCATTGATGTACCTAAAGCGGTTTTAATTTAATGGCACTAGTCCACGAACTTTTTGATAACCCCTCGTAGTACTCAAGTCCAAAAGGGAATACTTGTACATATACATTAAAGGAAGTAGGGGAATATATCCAGTCGTTGAATTCCGAAGTCATATTTCCTTATGGAACCCTTTAATATACAATGTACGAAATGAAATAGGTGAAGAACAATAGGACTGTAGCGAACAGTGATCGATCTCAAAAGACATACAACCCATACAAATCTGTTAACAGGGCATAAAACATGGACCCTTGGAAAATCCAGAGGTAGGATCTGGTGCCTAGGAAAAGTAAGTATCCTCTGTCGGTCGGTCACACCCGCCGTGAGCCCTATGTACATTGTATTGATCACGAAGACGGATTAATTTGTAGTGAAATTTAGTATTACAACTGGAATGAAATAATTCATGTCAGTCAAAATAAGACCTGATGATAGGTTATATTTCTAACAAGGTCATTATTTCGACTTAGAACGTACGAAATGCTGATTTTAAACGAGGTGGTCACTCTAACGTCAATCTATTTGTCAGTAGCCTGCCTCGGTTTAAAAATCGATCGTATTCAGAGCATGCTCTTGATCATCAAATAAGATAGGAGACATAAACATCATATGCAGGAGGTAGTGGAATGTTACTGCATTAATAAGGGAAGCTGACGATGGAAAGGCTGAAGTCATCTCGTTTGTCATATAATGTAATTGTTAGCTGGTCTTTATCTCTATAGTCGGTCGGAGAAACATCCAAATATGAAACAGATGTGACAGACTCTGTATTGTGTATTTTATTTCGAGTTTACTGGAATATATGGAGTCGACGTATAAATTTAAGTAACAATTGTTAATTGTTAAAACATATATATCTAAATGTTACGGAAGCCGGTAGGTGCCAGGAAGAAAAATATTTTACCTGGCGGCCGCCAGATAAGTTTCTGGCGGCCGCCAGATAAATATTTGGCGGCCGCCAGATAACTTATCTGGCGGCCGCCACATAATTTCTGGCGGCCGCCAGATAATTATTTGGCGGCCGCCAGATAATTTCTGGCGGCCGCCAAATAACTTTATGGCGGCCGCCAGATAAGTTATCTGGCGGCCGCCAGAAAATTATTTGGCGGCCGCCAGATAAGTTTCTGGCGGCCGCCAGTTATTTATGTGGCGGCCGCCAGATAATTATTTGGCGGCCGCCAGAAAGTTATCTGGCGGCCGCCAGATAAAATATTTTTTCTACCTGGCACCAACCGGCTTCCGTAAAATGTTGAATTGAAGGCGACAGAAAGTTTTCCTCTTCTCGATCATGAAGAAGTTTTTGAATAACATTTGCTTCACAGGAGTATAAAAACAGGTTGGCTTATACAGGAGCACAATTATCGACCATCGAAATTCCAACAGATTGTTGGAAGACCTTGTCTCCAAAAACTACATATGTATTATCAATGCGAAACTCCAGTCACAAGATATGAAAATTTACGAATTTCATTTTTATTTAGGAAGCAGTTGTCGAATTATAATGCGTTTACGCGGAGAAAAATTTACTAGTGGGTATACATGTATTTACTTACGAACAAAGGAGAAGGTATGATACGGCAATATTTTATTTTGCCCCTTATTTGGTATGTCAAAACACAGCTAAAATTATGATAGTTACCATTTAAGAACTTTAAATGCCTTTTGTTTTAAACAAGAACTAATTTTGATTCAAAGCGTTTACGGAGTTAACAAGAGGGTGACAAAAGTTGGACATTTACCGAATTTCCTCAGTTCTGTTGGAATTTCGTCAAATATGAGATTATCACACTTTTCACTTCAGAAAACAGAGAGCAGAAGCTTGCCTATCCTGGACTTTTACTGAATAAAAGAAATAAAACTATAATTATTTAGCAAACTGCAAATAAGTTAAATTTCATATATTCAAGAGTGATTTTAAAACAGGATATTGATCAAACAAAATTGGAAAATAAAAAAAATATATATACCCAAGTTTTAATAAGCATATATAATATTTTTTATGTTTCATTAATTTTGGTTTCTTCAAAAAATAATCCTTAAGGATTTAATGGCTTAAAGCTTGAGTGGGTGGGCTACAAAAGTTATACCCAGTTTGAATAAACATACGTATGAAGTCCTTTGTTGTATATAAAAAAAGACACACGGTCACATAAAGTTTCATGCCCCTCTTTCCCGTACATTGGAATCAATTGCAAATTTGTTAATTTGATAGAGCCCTTTGGCTCATATCGTAAATGGTCCCTAACTTGTATGTTGTATGTTGTTTTTTTTACGTCCCATTCGAGAATTTTTCACTCATATAGAGTCGTCACCATATACCGGTGAAGGGCTTCAAATTTTGACCTTTACACGGCACTCAGGGCCATTGAGCAGTGATGGATCTTTATCGTGCCAACGCCTGCCGTGACACGGGGCCTCGGTTTTTAAGGTCTCATCCGAAAGACCCGCAACTTTCACTCCAAAGTGCCGAGCGCATGGCGAAGGAACAGTTGCTACCTATTTTTTATCGACTTAGGTCTGTCGCGGCCGAGATTCGAACTCGATCACGGAGCGAGCGCTCTACCGACTGAGCTACCGTGAACGGTATTCCCTAACTTGTCCTTATGAGTAAAAAGAGAAACATTATAATGAGAAACAAGACAATTTTTTGCAAATGAGTTAAAGTTTGTTTAATTAATAACTGAACTGCTTGGATAACCGTTTTACATTGATATATACTTTGGGATCGTTAGAGAGGCTATTAAAGATAAAATAGGCTTCAGTAGATTTAGCTTTGTTCAGTGTCAGAGAGAAAAATGTAGGAAATACCGGTATGAATAAATTTCCCCTCTGGAACACCAGTCTTTCACTAAACAAAAATTGCAGTAAAATTCCGTAGACCAACAATGTTACGATTTGACAAATTAAATACGATGCATCCATCACTGTTTCTTTATAATTTAAGTCATTCTTTATTCAGTACCTTAAAATTGGCTTTAGTGCGGCTACGACAAATAGTGTTTCCTTTCGCCTGCTTTGTAGCTTCATTAAAGATGTATATAAATCTAAGAGTGATAAGATATTTATTTACTACTAGCATGATATAGTTCATGCATTTGCCTGCAAAGAAAAAATCAAAGTACTGAAAGTACTCATGGGAGTTGAACATTGTAATGTGAAAGATTTAATAGGAAGTAAAGGAGCTACAGTGTCGGAACATTTTTTCATGCTTTAGATATAAGTCAACTATTGCAGATTTGACAGAGATACAACACCAAACATTAGAAATAATTTCAAAAACGTTTGAATAACGAAGATCATGTGCCACAATACTCACCTGAGTAACTTTAATGACTTTAACCCTGCTGTTCTTATTCAGATTTTCAAAAACTTTTACCACTTAATATTCCCATGCAGGGACGT